AGTGGGTAAAGAAGTGGATGGAGGTTGGGGAAGGGAAGAGGATGAACTATGTGAAGTAGTAACCGGGCTAGATGGAGAAATAGAGGTAGAAGGTGTAGGAGTTGTGTTTTGAGAGATGATGTGAGGAGAATCAGTAGGCATAGCAGATTGCGGACTGGTAATTACAAGAGGAACAGTAATGGAAGAAGGAGGTGGATTGTTGGGTACTGCAGGAAATAAATTGGGATAAGGGAACCGATTTTCACAAAAAATAACATCTTTAGAGATAAAAATTCTGCCAGTAGGTGCTAGACACTTGTAGCCTTTATGAGAAGTAGAGTAACCCAAAAACACACATTCTTGTGAACGAAGTTGAAGTTTGTTCTTGTTGTAGGGCCGAAGATGAGGAAAACAAGAATAACCAAAAATTCTGAGAAAATTATAATTTGGTAGTTGATGAAATAATTTTCTAAATGGAACATCATTCTGAATGGAAGATGAAGGTAGTCTATTAATGAGATAGACACTGGTTAGGAAGGCATGATCCCAAAAATGCATAGGCAGTTGAGCTTGAGCTAGCATTGTAAGACCTAATTCAACAATGTGTAAAGTGTTTGCGTTCCACTACTCCATTTTGATGATGAGTATCTGGACAGATGAGGCGGTGTTGAATGCCAGTTTGAGCAAGATAGGAGGTGAAAGAACGAAATTCTCCTTCCCAATCAGTTTGAATAGCTTTAATAGGCAATTGAAATTGATTTTGAATCATAGCATGAAATTGCTTAAAAACATCAAGCGTATGAGCTTTGCTTTTGAGAAAAAAAATCCAAGTAAACCGAGTATGTGCATCAACAAAAGTAACATAATATTGATAACCACTATCAGATATAAATGGTGCAGGGCCCCATAAATCACTATATATTAGTTCAAATGGTGTATTATAGACAGTTTTGGATAATGTAGAAGATAATTTGTGAGATTTGCCAAGACAACAAGGAGTACAAAAATCAGAGACAATTTTATTGATAGTAGGAAAGTTACAAAGTCTGAATACAGATTTCAGTACATCATTATGTGGATGTCCTAGTCGAGAATGCCAAGTGGCATAGGAAACAAAATTACAAGAAGCTATATGAGCAAAGGGTTAATTGTTGTGTTGTCTTGGCTGAAGCAAAGAGGGAAATTGATACAGGCCATCAAGGCCAACAACTCCCATGAGAAGAGTCTCTTTAGTGTCCTGTGATTTAACCAAACAGAAGTTTGAGTGAAATTCAAAGAAGACAGAATTATCTTTACAAAATTGACTCACACTGATGAGATTTTTGGTAATATTGGGAACATAAAGAAGGTTATTGAGAGTAAGAGAAATGTGAGGTTTTAAAGGGGAAGAAAACTCAGTAGCACCTGAAGAATTTATGGGAAGACCCTGACCATTGCCAATGATAATTTGATCTGGTCCTTCAAAGGGAGTGAATTGCTGGATATTTTGAGACATGTTGGTGACATGATTGGATGCTCCTGAGTCTGGATACCACAGATTTGAACCAGGAGAAAAAGAAGTCATGGCCATAGCTGATGGTTGAGTTTGAAGGCTGCCATTGGAGACAAGGTATGCCTGAGATGAATTAGGGTTGGGTGGCCGAGAACTCAAAATACCATGGGAAAATCCAGTGGGACGAGTAGCTGGTTGTGAATGAAAGGGAGAAGGATTATACCCAAGGGTTGGGTTGGCAGTTGAGTTGGCAGCGGAAAAGGAAGTGTCAAGAGGTAAAAATGGGACAAAATTGCTATCAAACCTGTAATAGCAAGAGGATGCAATGTGACCATATCAGTGACAAACTTGGCATTGAACACCTGCAAATTTGCCACACCCACGGCCATAACGGTTGTCGGGTCGTCAACCATGACCATTCCGTGCACCAGCTCTTCCACCATGGAAGAGAGCAAACTGGGAATCTTGATGAGCAAGATTGGCTTCAGGTTGTAAGGTAGAAGAATTAGAGCTTGAGGGGGTTTCAAGAATGTTGACAGAGATGAGGTTCTTTTTCTTGAATCTCTCAAGGTGCGATTCATGAGCAAGAAGGGTTTTGACTTCTTCTATAGACAGTTCATCAAAACGGCTGCTGATAAGAGAAACAGTGGACTTATATTCCTCTGGAAGGCCTTCAAGAACAATATCAAGATGTTCTTTGGAGGAGACGGAATCACCAATAGCAGTTAGGGCATCGACCAGGGATTGAATTCGAAGAAGATAATCGGAGATTGAACGATTGTCAAGATTCGTGCTGCGAAGATCACTTCAGAGTTGACAGGCTTTGGCATTAGTGTGCGCATGGATCTTGTCCCAAATTTGGAAGGAAGATTTGCACCCAATGACTCGAGTGAGCATGTCTTTGGACATTGATGATTGTAACTATTGGGAAAAACCCAAGTCCCACATCGACTAGAGATTAGGCAATTGAATAATATATAAGTAGAAAGCAACCCTCACCTTACAAGCCGGTTTTGTAGGGTTGAGTTAGGCTTCAATCCACTATTCTAAGATGGTATCAGAGCCATTTAGATCCACTTTAAAAATGGGCCACCCACCATTGATGCATGCCTCATAGGCATGAGGGGGTGTATTGGAAAAAACCCAAGTCCCGCCAATCCTAGATCATTAAAAAGGGTCACCCACCATTTATCCACGTACCAAGCCCAATAGTGCTGGACGTGAGGGGGTGTATTGGGAAAAACCCAAGTCCCACATCGACTAGAGATTAGGCAATTGAATAGTATATAAGTGGAAAGCAACCCTCACCTTACAAGCCGGTTTTGTAGGGTTGAGTTAGGCTTCAATCCACTATTCTAACAGTAACCAAGAAAAAAGCAACTGATCTTGCTGTTCCCAAGCAAGATATTCTTAAGAAATACGATTAGCATCTCTGTCAGATACCGTAAGAAATTTTTGTGGAATTTGGGGATTAACCAAGAAATGATGAAGACGGTGGCCTTTGATGACAGGGTCAACTTGTTGATACCAAAGAAGATAGTTCTTGGTATCTAATTTCTCAGAAATAGTGTGCGAGAAGGTAAGGGAAGGGGATGAGGAGGGTTTGACAAATTCAGCATGAAAGTGGGGTGGTGGTGGGGAAGGCAGTGTTGAGGAAGGCAATGATGTTTCTTCAGCCATGAGAAGAGACAGATGGTGCAGACAGGGAGAGAATGAAGAAGTGGTGGCAGGACACAATAGCAAGGCCAGTAGGAGAAGAGAGTAAGAGAAGGGCAACAGGGATCTACAGCTCTATGATACCATATTGAGATTAGAGAAAGAAAGAGTGAGAGAGACAGAGACAGGTTAACAGAGAAAAGGAATTGTATTATTTCAGTCAATTGAATCTGTAATACAATAGTCTTATTTATATATGTTTCAATAACTTCTAAAGAAGCTATAAAAACAGGTAACCAAAACTAAAACAGAAAATAACGGAAAAAATAACCCTATACAATATTATATCTAATATAATATTAAGGAGTAAAGTTATATACTCCAATATCGGTCGACGCAAACCAGAAGGAAAGAATACAGTGATATAGGGCAAATTCGAGAATGCCTATCCCTTCAGATTATTCCACTATTTTCTTCACACCTACTTCTATGATTCTCTCATTTATACAATTTAACTGCCTCCACAGAACAGCTATCAGTTAGTTAACATAATAACTAACTGTCCCCCCTTTTCCTCCTAACTTAGACCCTTTTAACTATGGATCCCCTATCAGCTACTAATCCAACTTTCTCCAGCTCTTGAAATGTACCATTCATGGGGGCGAGCTTCTTGTTCCTACGATTTGCCAATGAACATCATTTGTATGGAATGGTCTTCAAATATACCCAATCACCTGTCTCCAATTGGACATCCCTCCTATGCTTGTCAGCTTGTTTTTACTTGTGTTGCTGAGCAATAGTAAAATTATTTTGCTTGAAATCAGTTGTTGCACTCACTAACTAGATTTGGGTCAACTCCTGCAAAACTGGTTTGACTTCCCTAATACTCCCTTACTCCCAGAATCAACCTTCCAACCTCTATAGCTTCCAGTCCCTTTGTTTCTGTATTGGGCTTGATTCTGGAGTTATTCTCAATGTCTACCATACACTGAATTTGCATCCACCAACTGTGCAAAATTCATCATATCCTCCAAAGATACTCTAGTCGAACCTCAACCTCCTCCTTTGGCCATTGGTGAACACACCACACAAGTACTCTAGTTGTATGGTCTTCAAAGAACCCAGAAGTACCTAAATTGATCCTGGTATTCCATCAAAGAGCCTTCTTGCTTCAACCCCAGTAAGATTTCAAAAGAATTTTCAACCAACATTGGTTGAAACCTTTTCAAGACTTCTCAAAATTCACTCCCTGTTCTAGCTTTATTTCCAGATTTTACATACATCTTTCTAACTCTCAAGCACGCATCAATTAACCAGAAATTTTCACAGAATTTAGAGCCAAGGATCAAAGTAAACTGGAAGAAAACTCTTCACCTTGTTCAAATGAATCAGCAATCTATGCCAGTCATCTTTTGTTTTTTTCATTGCTTACAAAAACAAGACATTTGTCTTAATATTAAGACATATGGGAGAGGCCAAGGTGATACATCAGTTATGGTAGACTAATTTACACATAAATTCCAAAAATTCTAAAATGAAAATACGGTGGGCACTATACACAAACAACCTGCCCATCTACATTAGATAGTTTTGATATTTAACATGCTTATATTCATTACCAGCTTTTCTTTAACCAATGACAATGCAACAAACCACACACAAATTGACAAAAATTTTAATAAGATTAGAAAGTGTGTCTATGAGAACAGTGGAAGTTGTGAATGAGAGTTTTATTTTATTATATTATAATAATTATATACAAAAACAAAAGTCCATGCAAGTGACAATTTTCACTTCAACAAAGCAATCAGAAGTACATAATAGACGCATTACTATAATTGAAGGAAGGAACTACTCTGACATAAGTGCTAACCCTGAAATCTGCTTGACTAAGAACTTCTTTGGTTGTTACTTTGAATTCATATCTTATGAGGGGCCTGCGTACACCAGGTTTTGTAAGATCCAAATCCTGTACGAAGAAAGATAATGTGCAGATCAGTAAACTAATAGATACACATAATACAAAATAAGCATCATTGAGTAAAGGTCAAAATACCAAGCAGTGAGTAGGATATCATAGCCATAGTTGTTTGAAATAGACAAAAGCATAAAACTGATAATAGGGTCAAAAGCATTTAACATCACTGGTTAACCATACCAATTGGCTTAATAGAGTTGAGAGAGAAAAGAGAGAGAGAGAGAGAGAGAGCAGAATTGAGAAGATGAGAGAAAGTTGTCAATAGGCAAAAATATATTTTCCTTAACTGACCAAGAAAAACATACTAGATAGGTTTATATAGAGCCAATTTATATTGGTCTATATTAACGGCAATAAATGTGTACATATGATTAAGGAGTAAAACGATACTCCAATATTCCCCCGCAAGCTCAAGTAGGATGAGGAGACTCGACTACTTGAAGCTTGGACCGAAGAACGCAGAACCGCGAAGGTGAGAGAGCTTTGGTGAGGACATCAGCACATTGATCAATGGCTGGAACATGAACAACTTGAAGACACTTGGCAGCTACTTTCTCTCGAACAAAGAAAAGATCTAATTCCATGTGCTTGGTACGCGCATGAAGAATAGGGTTGTGAGCAAGGGCCACAGTGCTCAAGTTGTCACAGAAGATGATTGGAGTGGAATGATTCACTTTAAGTTCAGAGAGTAACGTTTGTATCCAAGTAACCTCAGTTGTGGCAAGAGCAAGACTTCTATATTCTGCTTTAGTACTGGAACGAGCAACAACAGTTTTCTTTTTGGACCACCAAGACACAAGATTTGGTCTAAGAAAGATGGAAGCACCAAATGTGGATCGCCTATCATCAAGATCAGATGCCCAGTCAGCATCACAATAGGCATGAATGGAAAGAGAGGAGGAGGAAGAAGCTGGTTGTAGATGAAGACCCCAAGAGGTAGTGCCCTTCAGATACCGAAGAATACGTTTAACAGCAGAGCAATGATGTGCAAGAGGATAAGACATGAATTGACAAACTTTATTTACAGAGAAGCTAATTTCGAGTCTTGTGATGGTGGCATATTGCAATGCACCAACAACTGAACGATAGAGAGACGCATCCAAGAAATCTTCAGAACCTGCTTTTGATAGTTTGCTGTCAGGAATCATTGGAGAAGAAATAGGTTTCAACGCTTCCATATCAGTGCGATTTAAGAGGTCTCTGATGTATTTACTTTGAGTGAGGATGAGGGAACCATCAGACTGAGTTTTGACTTCAATGCCAAGGAAATAATCAAGGTCACCTAGATCTTTGAGAGAAAAGACAGAATGAAGTTGAGAGACAAGTGTATGAAGGATAGAGGAATTATTGCTAGTGATGATAATGTCATCAACATACACCAAGATGTAGATGACATTGTTGGCATGGGAGTATACGAATAAAGACGGGTCACATTTACTTGCTTGGAAGTGAAACTGCAGTAAAGTTGATTTAAGCTTTTCAAACCAAGCACGGGGTGCTTGTTTGAGCCCATAGATGGCTTTGTGAAGTTTACAGACGAGACATTTATCAGAAGCTTCAAATCCTGGTGGTTGAGTCATATACACTTCCTCTTCAAGAGTTCCATTGAGAAATGCATTATTAACATCTAGTTGTTGAATAGGCCAATGATGGGTTAAGGCAAGAGTGAGAATGAGCCGAACAGTGACAGGTTTGATAACAGGTGAGAAGGTTTCATGATAGTCGAAGCCAAACTGTTGATTAAACCCTTTGGCAACAAGACAGGCTTTGTACTTTTGAACAGTGCCATTAGGATTTTCTTTGACACGGAAGACCCACTTACAACCTATGGCAGTTCGATGCGGTGGGAGAGGAACAAGAGACCAGGTACCATTGTGAAGGAGGGCATTATATTCAGTCTGCATGGCAGCAGTCCAGGTAGGATTAGATAAGGCTTGTTTGGTTGTTTTGGGTTCAACGTGAGTTAATAGAAGTGTGGGTTGCAAGCGTGGTTTGACTATTCCATCTTTTGCTCTAGTTGTCATAGGGTGAACATTATGAGGATGAATGAATGGAGAGGAGATGGATTCAAGGGTAAGCGATGTGGGAATGGATAAATTGGATGGAGAGGCACCCGTGCCAGCAACACGTGTGGTGGAGGATTCAAAGGTTAAGTTTGGTGAAGGAGTAGGTGTGAAAGGCACGGCTTCCATAGTGGATGGGGTTGGGTTAGTGGGAGAGGGACTGGTCTCATTTGAGGACGTTGCTGAGAGGTTGGATGAGGAGGTTTGAGGAGGGGTTACAGTGAGAGGAACTTGAATAGGGTTTGGGGAGTTGTGAACAGTGGAAGGGGAGAAGAGATCCTTGTAGGGGAAGTAGGGAAACCGTGTTTCATTAAACACAACGTCTTTAGAGATGTAAAGACGCCCGTCAGCTGCAATACATTTATAGCCTTTGTGAGAAGTGGAATATCCCAGAAAAACACATTCTTGGGATCGAAATTGAAGTTTGTTTTTGTTGTAGGGTCGAAGAAGTGGGAAACAAGAACAGCCAAATACTTTAAGAAAGTGATAATCTGGTGGTTGGTGAAAAAGGCAGTGATATGGAACATCGTTTTGAATAGAGGAAGAGGGAAGTCAGTTGATAAGATAGACGCTGGTGAGAAAGGCATGGTCCCAGAATTGCATAAGTAAGTCAGTCTGAGCTAACAAGGTGAGGCCAAGTTCAACAATGTGCCTATGTTTTCGTTCAACAACCCCATTTTGATGATGGGTGTGGAGGCATATGAGACGATGTTGAATGCCAACATCGTGAGATAGGTTGTAAAGGGGCGATACTCACCACCCCAATCAGTCTGCAATGCTTTGATCGGGTGGTGGTATTGATTTTTAACCATAGCATGAAACTGCTTGAAGATACCAAGGGTTTGGGCTTTATTTTTGAGAAGGTAGATCCACGTAAAGCGTGTGTGCGAATCAACAAAAGTAAGATAGTATTGATAGCCACACATAGATGTGGCTGGTGCAGGTCCCCACAAATCGCTGAAAACCAATTCAAACGGTGTATTGTAAACAGTTTGGGACAGATTGGAATGTAATCTATGAGATTTACCAAGACAGCAAGAAGTACAAAAATTTGAATTATTACTGTTCACAGATTGAATGTTGAAGTTCCAGAAAGCAAGTTTCATTACATCAGCATTAGGATGACCTAATCTGGAGTGCCAAGCGGCAAAAGAAATAGAGTTCTTTGCTGCTGTGTTAATGGAAGAGACTTTGGCAGGTTGACGATGCTTGACAGGTTGTGTGCATTGGTGGAGTGGAGTCAGCCATGAGCGGGCGGATCGAGAAGCTCTATGATACCATAATAGAGTTGAGAGAGAAAAGAGAGAGAAAGAGCAGAATTGAGAAGATGAGAGAAAGTTGTCAATAGGAAAAAATATATTTTCATTAACTGACCAAGAAAAACATACTAGACAGGTTTATATAGAGCCAATTTATATTGGTCTATATTAACGGTAATAAATGTGTACATATGATTAAGGAGTAAAACTATACTCCAATATGGCTGAATCCCAATAGTAAAATGTGTATATGTTAATTCATGTAAAATCCTTCAGTGCAATAACATTATTAGCTAACCATACCATTGATTATGTGCCATATATTGTTAAAGAGATGAATCTGTTATGATTTTATCTTGTGTAAATAGGGAACTACTGAAACTTGTATGGCTGAAAATTAGGGATTACAATAGTTATTTGTTTTCCTTAATTTTAGCATTATTGATTATAAATAAAGCTTATATGTGTGATCAATTGATACATGGTTTCCAAAAATCCTTTATATATTATCACCAGAATTAAAAAGGAAAAGCAACAGACAGACAGAGAGCAAGAGAGACTGAGATGGTATCAGTAAGTTTGCCAGCCACCTAAAATTCTAAAAAGGCCATTGCAACACAGAATTCTTCTTTTGTAGGGAATATCGATAAATAGTGTTGGATTTAAGGGTTATAATCTATAAAGCACCAACTCCAACACAAACATTGCAACACAACTAATGTCCAACACATAGGACACCAGAGCACTATATATCAAGAAATTCAAAACCTCTTTCATTCCTTTCAAACCATATTCACATGCCTTTATCCCATCCACCCTCATGAGCACAAGACAATTGATTGCTAGAAGTATTTCCAACAGTTCCCAACATTTTCCAACCCCTACACACTAGTTACTACTTACTTACTAGTACTCGATTTCAATCATGCACTTCCTGGACCATTACTCACCCGTTGTTCCCACCTCTCATAGCTTGTAAATCTTATTCATTTCTAATCACCCTTTATTCCACTACACAACCACCCCCAACACTCATCGTTCTATTTTTTAGACTATAACTTATGAATATTTCTTCAATTTTGGATTTTTATTATTTTAAGTATTCATAAATATACATTATAAATTTTTTGTGTTAGAGATCTCTAATCTCAACATAGCATCCATCCTACTATTCTGCTATAACATTTTTCATGTCAGTCACTTGGTTCTGATATTCAGTATTGATAACTATCCTGCTGACACTATTATATTTCACAAAATACCTCGCACCAAACATGTGTATTTATCACTACATCAAACATCAATTTGGACATAAACCATATGATGCCCTCATGCACAATACAACATTAAACATATACAATCATCTAAAATTAAAGACAAACTTAAAAAAGAAAGATGACCAAGGAAGTTAAGCATTGTTATTAAACTTACCTTTACATCATATTTAGAACCAAGCGGAAAATTGGCGTCATATCGAAAAGCATAATCTTCTTTGTCGACTTCATCCTCATCAAATTCAAAGTATGTGGCAGCATTCTTCAGTTTTCCATCCATTCCATCAGATAATGTGTCATAACTTCCATCTAGATTGTGCATCATCTCAGAACCAGCATCATTTCCTGAATCAGGTCTATATTGACCCTTTCCCTGTTGGTTAATCTTTTCAAGAATGGAATCAAACTGGGCAAATCTCCCAGGATTTTGACCAAATGGCTCAAACTCTTCAGGAGGCTCTGGCTTGTTAGACTGCTGATTACTTGTTCCATTATCTTCTCAAACATTAGACAAGATCACAAGGATTAATCAGTAAATCCACCAAACGAGACAGACCAAAAATAAAAAATTTCTAACATCCCTATAGAATTTGGGAAATTGTGTATCAAATGCAGACCACACACTATTGTTATTTATATTTACATGAGATGGGTAAGGTAATAAATGCTAATAAAGTCCTAATCAAATGTTAGTGTCACTTACGTTACATGTGCTGAAATTGGAAATGTGATTAGGCACATGATTCATCATACATGTGTAATATATGTCATATCTAACAATCCTACTATAGAAAGACTGAGCCAATTATGACAGTAGTAGAGTATACATATATTCATTTTATTTCACTGTAATTTCACTTGTAATTTTGTTACTCTAAAACAGAGTTAGCTTTGCTGTTATGAATTACTTACTTGCTGACTCAGCAGTGAGTTATCTAGAATAGGTTTATAATGATCATCTCTCTGTATTTTCCAGCTAATGAATCAATTTCTATTTTCTCTATCACTGCTCTCAATTATCTCTCTATTATAAATTTTATTAAACAAAACACGTGACACTCTCATTTGATTAAAACTTAAATCCATAGAGGTTTACTTTAATATATAACATTTTCTGTCCTTATTCCTGAATTTAGCTAACCTCGCCTGTTTTGAATATTTAACAGAAATATACTTCATTTTTGGCATAGACACATAACACTACATAATGTGAAAAATAAAAATTCAGAAGCCCAATTTACTCTTCTCAAAACTGGACAAAATGTACAAATACCCAAGAACATGAAGAGAAGCAAATTGCCATGATGCTACTTCACCATGAAACAAAGAGAGGGTATTGATTAATCAACTTAAAAAAGTATATATAGATGTCTGCACAGCGAACAGGATTGTATTTGTAACCCAATTGGAACCAACCCAAGTCAGGCTCTATCCTCCAGGAGCCTACTTATTCCCCTACCCTACCAAGGTGCTTGCATTTTCCGTCACGAGTCACAACACCAAACAACTCTTGATCCCAAGTGTGGGATTTTGGAAAAAGGATGAATACTCTAAAAAAAATCACAACATTTAAGGAGAATCTTCAACTAAAGGTCGTCCATTCTATATATTTACCTCAGCCTTAGTGAATTGGTATGGTAATTCCTTAGCTTCTTTTCTCAAACTTTGGCTATTGGATCCTGGATTTTGGACTATGGTGCTTGTGATCATATTGTTGGTAACTATTTTATCTTCTCAAATTTATCTCCCACAAAAATTCCTCATTATAGCACCGATGCAAACAACTTTAAGTTTAGGAAAATGATGACTAGTGCCTGATGTTGTGTATTTTTATTTTTGTTTTTGTCTCACCTAAAACATTTCCCCAGTAGCCAATCAGTGTAGAGAGGATGATAATTTCAAGAACATGTAGCCTCAAAGGGGGTTAGCTATTTTACTAAACAATTCCCCAGTAGCTAATTAGTTCCCTTAGTTTTCTAAGGTTAAGAATATTCTCCCTCTAACCTATGACCTCAAAGGGGTGCTAGGTGATATATATATTTTTTTTTTATTATATTTTTTTTTTATTTACCCCCCAAAAGCTTTTAAGCACGAATTAAAAAGAATTTATCTTCAAGAGACTATTTTTATAATTCTCGATCATTTCAAGCCTTAATACTAAGAACCAAGTGCTAGCCACAAAACCAGCTAATTTTTCAACCTTTTGTTCTGAGACTTCAAGATTCAATTCATCACATTCAGTGTTTTCAAAGACGAACAATTTCGTTAAAAATATTTACTTTTCAAACACAAATTCAAGCTGGGATTAACTGAATATGTATATATGCATGATTTTTTTTTTTTTTTTTTTTTTTATTTTGCATGAATGAATGAAATGTGTACATCCTCCTAACCCCAAACTTAAAGATTTGCTTGTCCCGAAGCAAAGAGCTAATGAATGCATGATAGATTATTTTGACAAAATTATAAAATGCATGAATATGCAACCAACCCACAACAGAAAGGAATGCTTGTCCCTAAGCATCAGAGTAAAATAAGGAATAAGAAAGATCTCACTGTGGTGGAAAATCATCTGGATACCGTTGAATGTGCCATTGATACATTTGATCAACCATGTAATTATAATGCTGCTGGCGTTCATCCATTTGTTTCAGCCGGTTATCCATTGATTGAATAGCTGCCAGGATAGCAGCATTGTCCACCTCAGGTCCAGGATGTA